CTCTAAATTATCCAAAGAAAGTTTTTTAAAAAAATATTTATAAAGAAAATAAATTTTGTTACCTGTATCAAACAAAAGTTTGTTGAGTTATAAAAAGGAAAATGTAATCTTTGTCACAATAAAAAAATTTTCCGGTGTCACTAATTTTTAAAAACAATTGTCAAAATTAAAAAATTAAAAAAATCAGAAATAGATGTCAAAATAAGTTAAAACATTAAAATAAGTAAAAAATAATAAAAGGAAGATAAAACTCCGTCCGAGTCTATTCCTCGTGAGTCTCTCTTTATAACTAAATTCAAATCATAAAGGTTTGTAGTAAATAATAAGCTAATTAACGATGATAAATTAAATAAGCGGACGATAATATTTTACATTTTATAAAATTTTACGAAATTAAATTTACTAAATAATTTATAAAACTTCCGTAAAATGTATGAAATAACAATAAATAAAAAACATCAGAACAATAAATAAATATAAAAATAAAAATAATTATAATAAATAATAAAAATCTTTAAGAGATTATCAAATTCATTTTCATCAAATAAAAAAATACGTATTTCCTTATTTTTCATAATAAATATAGATTTCGAAAAAAAATTCTAAATGATACTTTCCAGTGGAATACCCCATATATAAATATATAATACTTATACAATTTGGTATATATATATATATATATGTAATATAATATAAGTTTATGACAAAAAGGGTGAAATTATAAATATACACGAATATGCCATCATATTGCAAAAATCGTTAAAATCTGTTTTAATATCAAACCATTTTTATAGTTTCATAAAAAAAAGTTATATACATTAAAAATTTTTATTACAAAAGATTTTTAAATTTTTAATAGAATATTATGTCGCATAAAAAACATATTTCATTTTTTCTTTTTATATGATAAATATTTTTTTCCCACAAAAAAAAAGTAAATCACATATGTGAAAAAATTTATGATCTAGTATAGTAATTTATAATATAAAGTTTATTTATAAAACTTGTAAAATGTCAAAAGGTTTTTTCTATACGAAATTTTTCTCACGTATGAGAAATTTTTATGAAAATAATTACGTTATCAATTATTATTATTATTATTATTATTATTATTATTATTATTATTATTATTATTATTATTATTATTATTATTATTATTATTATTATTGAAAAAAATAAATAAAAATTTTGAACTATTTTGAGTTAAATTAACAAGATCTCAACTTTCAAGGATCAAATTCTAAATGCAGCAATTCCTTTAAAACAACACTTTAGATTACTCAATGTTAGCTCGAAGTAGAATATGTACTTAACTTATTGTCAGTCGAGACGTGACGTGTGAGTTGTACTTGAGGTAGAGTAAAAAAAAAAATCGGAAAAAAGTATAAAATTAAAAAAAACTCGGTTAATTTTAAAAGTGGATTTTCAATATTAAAGTACAAGAAACATTAGAAAAAACTAATTAACTCGTAAAATTAAATTGAAAAACGTAATTAATCAAAATGATATATACATATCTTTAGTATTGTAATTATTTTTTTAAAAAACTTATAATTATTTCAAAGCCTAAACGAAAATTAACTTTAAACAATTTTTATTTGTTCCAATTTTCATTTACAATAATAGACATTTAAATGAATTTTTATTATCATGTATTATTATTAAAATTCTTAAAACGCTGAATTTCCATTTGACCGAAATTGAAAATATCCGAATAAACATAACCTACAAAAACATTTTTTCGCAAATTTAAACATTGACCAATCATCACACGTTTCGCTTGATAATTTCTGATTGAACAATTTTAAAAATTGCGTTGAAATTTTATTTGTAGGTTATGTTTTTGTTCGGACATTTTCAATTACGGTCAAATAAAAATTTAGCGTTTAATATGAATTCAATTAAAACAATAATTTGTGAAAATTAAAATTTCAAAAAAATTTAAATTTTTTTAAGATGGAAATTTTGATATTTAAAAATTCGAATCACCTTCAAATTCGGTTGATTGAGAATTCCTGTTAAAATAATAATCGTTTAAATTGAAATTTTTTAAGTAAAATTTTGGTAAATAGAAATTCTGTTAAATAAAAATTCAAATTTCGTAAAAAATTGTTTACAAAAAAAATATATTCTATTAAATGCGAATATGAAAAATTGGTTAAATAGAAATTCCGTCAAAGAATAAGTCGAACAAATAAAAATTTGGCTAAAAGAAAATTCTATCTATAATGTAATTTTATCAAATAAAAATTCTAACAAATTAATTTTAGCTACTTTCTGCGTCTCTATAATATAATATAATATAATGCAATATAATATTATATTGCATATTATTATTATTATTATTATTTTTGTTATTTAAGAAAATAATTTTTTTTAATTAAACAAAATATTTACTAGTTGCGACACTAAATCAACTAACTTTATACTGTAACAAGCTTTCTCTTTTTTTTGTGCTTTTAATAGTTAAATGTTTACTTAAAATTTCCCATTTCCGCTTTTTCCCAAGGTTCTCTGAAAAAGCTTTTGATTCAGGTTTAGGTCAGAAAAAACATTTCGAATATTTGCTTTCATTCACTAACCTTTTATTTCCTTTTATAGGGAAGATAAACAGGAAGAGAAAGCTGCCCTTTACTTCTCTATTAAGTAGATTTTTATGTTTCGTTAGTTGTTTTCTTACGATCCCTTAATTCTTTTTTTTTTTAGATATATATATATAGATACATTTACTATTTTATATAATAATTATTTTTAATCACAATTTTATAAATTTTATTTTTGCAACAATATTTTTCCTTTTTTTTTATATTATTATTATTTTTGTTTTAAGTCTCAATATTTTATTTTTCTATTTCTAAGAAAATTTTTTTATTTAATTTTATATTTTTACTTTATTCATGTTTATTTATAAAATTTTAATAAACAAAATGTGTTCTTCTTGTTCTATGTAATATTAAATTTTTTTTTATTTCACATATACATTTCTGAGTATAAAATCGTTTTTGAAAATAATATCACTTAATTAGAAAAAAATTAATTATTTATTTAAATGATTATAATAATTATTATTATATATAATTATAATAATTATTTTTTTAAATGTCAAATTGAAATTAAAATTCAAAATGCATCATAAAGTAGTTTACTGTTATAGGTACATTATACAACATAATAATACTCCTTGATATATATATATATATATATATATATATATATATATATATACGTATTTATAAAATAAACATTTCGCAATTTCAGTCGCCAAATTGCTTTGGCATTTTAACCTATAAAGTAAGTGGTCAACTTGACATTTCAATAAAATGACAAAATCGTTATGACAAATACGTGCAGAGAGCAAATAAATGGTAATTAATTTCTTATATAAATATATACTCTCATAACAAAAAGATATCCATATCAATGGTCGATATCCTAGAATGGTCTCCAGGATATCTTGGGATATCCATAGGATATCCCTAGGATATTTAAACCGCCGGTCTGTGAGACATCAACAGGACATCCATAGGATATCCACAGGATATCCCTAAGACATCCACAAAATATCTATTGGATATTATATCGCAGGATATCCATGGGATATCCTCAGGATGTCCGTGGGATATTCTTAGGATATTCACGGGATATTTAATATCTCAACATATATTTTTAAAGGTTAAAATTGTTAAGCTAATATAATGAATAATAATATAATAAAAACAAAAATTTTATGAGCTTCTAATTTATTTTAAATGAAGATTTAAAACGCATTTTTCAAAGTTTTTAAATAAACTCATGCACTTAATGTATAATTAATATTAATAGTTATTCGTTATTTGCGGGGAAGAATTTATATTGTTTAAACTTTAACGCCAATTTATTTTCTGGCAATATTAAGCATATGAATAAAGGAATGAATCACGAATGAGAAAAAAATTAGTTAATAATTTTTCAAATTAAACAACTTTCTCGAAAAACAAGTTGCATTTTATTTTATTTATATATAAAATTTAATTCACAGAATATTCTCACTCGTAGTCTCATAATGACTTTAAAAACAGTATCCTGAGAATATCTTCTTGATATCCAGAAGATATACTGAGAATATCCTGAAAATATCTGTGGGATATCCTGACGATATCTATGGGATATCTGGAGGACATTTATGAAAGTCTATAGAGATATCCTTAAGAGATCCTTTTGATATCCTCAGATATCCATAGGATATCCAAACCGCCGATTTTTTGGATATCCTTAAGAGATCCTTTTGATATCCATAGGACACCCCTAGGATATCTGCGGGATATTATCAATATTTCCCAATTCGCTTTCTAACATTATAACAATATAATTGAAAAATTTAATAATTTTTTAAACAAAAATATATTTTTAATATTTAATTCAAAAATTATATTTTTTTGTTTGAAATAAAAAATATTTATTTTGATTAAAATTCTTTTATTAATCGAAAAATTTATTGTAAACTAATCTTATTTTATGTAAATAAATAAAATAAATAAATAAAATTAATCAAATTGTATTTATTATTGAAATTAAATAATTATTATTTATTAAAGGTTAAGAAAATTTTAACCAAACAAAAGAAAAAGAAACAAAAAAAATATATAATACAAATATACAAAAGTAGTATTAAAAAACAAATTTAAAAAAAATTTTAAATCTAATTTTTCTCTAAATGTGTGCAACAAAAAAATTTGTTTGTCTAAATAAAAATTGGAATATTTGATATTTAAAAATAAAAAAAAAATTCATTCAGACAAATAAAAATTATTTTTTCCATAATTTTTCGTCAACCAAAATTTTTTGTTTCTAAAAATAACAAAAAAAAAAAAATTGGCCTTAAAAAATACCTTTAATCATATATTTGCGAACAAAATTTTGATTCGAAAACTTAACAACGAATATTGAAAATTTAATAAATAAAAATATTGTGAATATAAAAAAATTTCTACACTAAAATGACAATAAAAATAAAAACTCACCATAGACTATAGTTTTTTTGCAGAATATCTTCTTATATTATCCGAAGAATAATTTCAAGAATTATATATATATTTAAATGATTGTCAATACGCGTTTATAAATATTAAGTGCAAATTACAATCTCTTATTTAATTTAAAAACAATAATTTTTTTTTTTTAATTTCAAAACTTTTACTTGTTTTTTTTTTTCAAAAATCGAAAATAAAATATCACACACGTGCTATCAATAAACTTTTACTTATCATTAATCTAAAAGTTATTTAATTGAATTTAACTTTTCATTTAATTTCTAATAATTATTGATAAATCACTTTGTTTATTAATATTACTAATTGCTATAAGTATACTATAAATTTACTTTATAATCTACAAGTTTAAGTCTAATACAACTTTGCTATGTGTGTGTGTATATATATAGAGAAAGAGAATATATTTAATTATATCTCATAACAGATTAACATTTCTCTTAAAATATATATAGTTTTTAATTTATATTATTTTTAAAAAAATAAGTTGACAAAAAAATACCGTGAGATTGCCTTTCGCTTGTATATTGTACTTTCAAAGATTCGGAAAAATTCGCATCACGTGTTTCTATATCCGCGTGACTTTCGTCATTTTTTTTTTTTTTTTTTTTTTTAAAGCTACTTCGATTCTTTTATGGACTGTTTATTTTTTCTTTTTAAAATTTCGTCATTTTATTTGATTAATTTTCGAAATAATTACATAATTCTTCGAAAAATAAAAGTTTTAATCTTTAATCAGATGGCAGCGGGTTTTTTTTTTTTTTTTTGTGGAGTGCAATTCTATTTTTTGTTCTGTTTAGTAAAATTTAAGGTAAATTTTTTTTTTTTTTTTGATCGCGAATTTTTTGTTTTTCTTTTTTTTTTGGAGGGGAATTTTTGTTATTTGAAGATGGGCCACGGGAAACGTTTGCACTCCGACTAAGCTTATCGCAAGCCCGCCACTGAAGCTAGTTCAACTTCAACCTGTCCTCGTTAACTTCCGGATCTCGGTATATATAACGTTCGGGGAGTTTCGGTGTTGCCCTGCGCTTTTGATATTGCACACGTCTGACTCAAAGGAACTTCTATCACTTATCACTTTAGCCCAATGAACAATGCGTGGTTGACAGCTTTATGAATTTCCATTTACAACTTGTGTATATACGTCAAAGACAACTAATCAAGACCTCCCTGACCCACAATTTTCTTCAATTGTTCATATAGATACTTTTATCTATATATCACTCAAAAAAAAAGTAATCTTAAATTTAGAGGAAAATTCCTCTTCTAAAATCCTCTGAATATTTCCTCTTAAAATGCGAATATCCCATTTCACTGTAGAGAATATTTTTATTCTTTGTTATGTAATGGAACAATGACAAAAGGAGTACTTTTGCATTTTCCTCTTCAATTACGATTTTCCTGTTTAAATTTAGTATATTTGAAAAAAGGAAAAGTAAATACATGATATCGATTACATTTTTTTCCTGTTTGACATTTGCGCTTTTGTTTTTCGAAACTGTCAATTTTCGTATTTTTTCATAATAGTGTTGTGTATAAATACAGAAAATGTAACCTCTCGATGAATCTACAAAGCTGAAGTACGCAACGTTTATGATAAACGATTTTTGAAGAAATAATTTTTTAAAATAAAAATTCTATAATTTTTTGCCTAAAAAATATTTTTTTTATATAATTTGCTGATTAATGAAAACTACAAGAAATATTTTTTAGGCAAAAAATTACAGAATTTTTCATTTTAAAAAATTATTTCTTGAAAAATCGTTTATCATAAACGTTGCGTATACTATAGCTTCGTATGAATCTTCATTTCTTACTAATTTTCTTAAATATTTGCGTCCAACTTGTTTGATATTTGCAACTGGCTATAGCATTTTTTATTATTATTGTAATTAAATCTAATGTATTGATGTTCAGCAAAAAGCAAGAAATTTTTTTCAGAAATGTTTAATTATCTTTATTCCAGGAATCTATTATAATTTACCTTTTTTGAATGTAAATAATTAAATCTTATTAAATATTTATTATATTGTTAAATTTTTAAAAAAATTATTGGTTCTCTTGACATTAATAACACTAGGAATTTTTGAGGTTGAGGTTTTGATATCAACATTTAATTCAATGTGTCAAAACTGTACTTTATTATCAATACATAACCATTATTGTCTAATAATTTATTCAAAACCTATGTATTACGGTTATTTTCAACTTGTCAAAATATTTGAATATTATTCTTCCTTTAAGAGGATTTTTTCGAGAGGAAAATCCTTCTAAATTAAGATTATTACTTTTGATACCAAAATTAAGAGGAAAATATGCATTACATTTAGAGGAATCCTCTAGAATGAAGATTACTTTTTTTAAGGTGTACAAATACCTATATATGGGTGCGATTCATTAGAAAGATTCATTTTGGTTAGATGAAAATAAAAAAAAAAAATTTATTTCTTAAGCTCTAAAGCATTGAATCAAATTAGGCTCACAAAGATTTAACATTTCTGTACCTTAATCATGCAGTATTATAACTATTAAGAAAGATTTATATAATGTTGTTGATTAATTTTAACGAGGCCTTTAAACGGAAATGTTAAAATTCTTTAAAGAAAAAAAAATAATTTTTTTTTGTCAGTCAATGATTGTGATAATTATTACTTTTTAGAAAAATAAATTCCGATATCGGAGAGAAATTGACAGTGATGGCGACTGTCACGCCATTTCTGGTGACTATACCGTTTAGTAGATTTTCGACGAACTAATTTAACAGTGGGATTTACTAAACAGCCGTTTTGTAGCTGTGACATATTAACTGTAGAGTAGCACCAATTGTTAAAACTGCCAAAAAGTTAAAATGACCGCCTTTGTTGTGAATATGCTAAACATAACCTACTCTATGTGATTTAAATGATTTAAATTTACTGTTTGGGAGCGTTCATAAACTATGTAGACCTATTTTTGTGACTTTTTGACACCCCCCTCCCCCCACGTAGACTAACGTAGACTTTTGATGAACCCCCCCCCCCTCCCCCCGTGTTTCACGTAGTTTTTTTTTAATATGCATTTTTACTACATATTTAATTATATTCGCATATTATACAAACAAGTCAATTAAAAACAGTGAAATAATCTGAATAAAATATTTTATTCTTTACATATTGAAATGTTTAAAATCAACAAATACAAAAAATCTTTTAATACGAAAATAACATTTTTTTAAAATTTTCTTAAAATTTTTTTTTTTAGAGATTCCCAAGTAGCACGATATATCAAGCAGATGTCACGGTGATATCACCGGGGAATGTCACCGTGACAACAGGAAAATGTCAAAATGTCCGCCTTACGGTGACATCGAGGTGATATCATGGTGACATCAAGGTGATATCATGTTGATATTTTACAGGGACTTAAAATTGTTAATAATTTAAAAAATAATAATAAATAAAAAAAAATAATAAAAAAAAAATAATTTAAAAAAATTTTAAATCCCTGTAAAATATCAACATGATATCACGGTGATATCACCATGATTTTGACATTTTCCTGATGTCACGGTGACATTCCCCGGTGATATCACCGTGACATCTGGTTGATATATCGTGCTACTTGGGTTTTAGTATATTTTAGTATATATTAATTACGTAGTTAGAGTCGACACCCCCCCTCCCCCCACGTAGACTAAGGTAGAATTTTGCTTAACCCCCCCCTCCCCCTAAACATGCTACGTATTTTATGAACGCCCCCTTTCTTGTAAAAATAAAGAATATAAAAAGAAATTGTTAGCAAAAAAGACAACTCGGAGGTTTTTGGGGTCGTTGATTACGAATCTAATGTTAGTTTTTAAAAATTTTCGAAATTCAAAAAGGCAGATCAAAAATCGCGGACGATTTAAAAAAAAATTATTGGATTTATCTGAAACTTGTTAATGGAGGGTTTTTGGTGTCTATGCGATTATGAATCTAATGTTAGTTTTTCAAAATTCAAAATGGCGGATTTAATATGATGAACGAAATTTTAAAAAGTTAAGCTGAGCTCTTGAAAATGACAAAAAAATGAGATCTGTGTTCTGTAACCTCCTAGTGGTTGATCCCGGAAACTACAAGTAGGTAGGCAAATGACAGAAAAAATTGGCCCTGGATTTCTAAACAGCCATCGCAAATCCGATAATTTTTTAAAAATTCATCCGCCATATTGGATCCGACATTTTGAATTTTGAAAAACTGACATCAGATTCGCAATCAGCGACCCCCAAAACCTCCAAGTAACGAGTTTCATACAAATCAGATAATTTTTTTAAAAATCGCCTGCCATATTGTATCCGCTATTTTGAATTTTGAAAAACTGACATCAGATTCGTAATCAGCGATCCCGAAAATCCTTAAATACAGTGGATAATGAATTTTTTGTTACTTTAAAAAGTCAGGCGTTAAAGGGTTAAGGACAACATGATTCGACAGTATACACACTCTTAAAAAAGATACGAGGTGAAAATTAAACATTGTCATAAGTAGTAATTTAACCTAAAAGTGTAATTCTACACAACTATGTGTATCTTCACAACGCTCTGCAATGCAATTTAACACAGAACTTGTAATTTTACCATGTTGAAAGTTGGAAATTATTTGCTTCACGTTCAACGTAGTAAATTTACAGTCTGATGTAAATTTATTATATAATTTTGTAAATTTATTTTGCTTGTGTTATTTTACAATTGCGTTGTCATTCAACATATTTGCGCTTGAAAAAAAAACATTTCGAGTGTAGGTAAATAGTATATCGTTCTCACAAGAAGTTTCAGTTCCTTGAATATTAACCCAGTGAGCAAAAAATCATGTTCGTTCTAAAAACGTTTTTAGAAAGTTTTATGTCCGCCAAATAATGTTCTGAAACATTTTAAGAACATGGATGTTCAAATAATGTTCTAGAACATTTTTTGACTGGCATGAAACGTTCTTAAAACATTTTTGGAACGAATATGGTTATTTGCCCACTGGGAATTATTATTATTTCCTACATTTTAATATGTCTTAATGTGTTTTATATTTTTTGATTAAAATAGTCGGTAAAGTAGATGTAGATTCTACATAAACAAAAAAAAATCTTTATTTTCTTTACCGATAATTTTACTCAAAACATATAAAACACATGAGACGCCTACTTTTTCCTCAATTTTTAAATAACCGAATTTTTAATTAACATAATTTAAAATTACAAAAGTGTTAATAAACCGAATTTAAATATTTCAGAATTTTTAAAAAACCGAATTTTTATAGTTCCAAATTTTCAGTTTACACAATAAAAAAATAATCGAAATACCATTGGTTATAATTTTTATGTTCTCGAATATTAAAATTACAGAAAATGAAAAGAGCTGAAGTTTCACTTGACAGACTTTCTGTTCAACCTAATTGCGATTGGACAAAATTTTAAGAGAACAGAAATATCAGTTAACATAATTTCAATTTTGCAGAATTTTTAGTTAACATAATTTAAAATAAACAGAAATGTCATTTGACATAATTTTTATGTTCTCGAATTTTAACTTTTCCGAAAATAAAAATAACAGAAATTTAACTTGACAGACTTTCTGTTCAACCGAATTGTGATTGGACAGAAATTTAAGAAAACAGAAATATCATTTGTCATAATTTTAATTTTGCCGAATTTTTAATTTACAGAATTGAAAAACAACCGAAACACCATTTGTCAGAATTTTTATGGTCACAAATCTCAGATTAACCAAAAATGAAAACAGCAGAAGTTTCACTTGACATACCAAATCCATTGTGTATTCATTGTTTAAACAATCATCAACAATGGATTTATTCTATCAAATGAAAGTTCTGCTGTTTTTATTTTCGGTTAATTTGAGATTCGAGAACATAAAAATTATGACAAATGACATTTATGTTTATTTTTAATTATGTAAACTAAAAATTCTGCAAAATTGAAATTATGTTAACTGATATTTCCGTTATCTAAAAATTCTGTCCAATCGCAATTAGGTTGAATAGAAAGTCTGTCAAGTTAAATTTCTGTTATTTTTATTTTCGGAAAAGTTAAAATTCGAGAACATAA